CCCTACAGTAAACCTGCCCGAGCCCTTAAAAATAACCTAAGCCCTGGGTACCACAAGTAAGGACAGATGATATGGCTCAGATGAAATAAGCAACCTAAATTGGAGCAGAGCCTTGAACAGAACTGCAACATCACGTAAAACTTTGCTAGAGCTTCCTCCTTGTCCGTTCCTTGCCAGAACACAGTCTCAGTCTGTCACTTGACCCAAATCTTAGCCTTTTGTCTGTAATCATCAGCAAACGCACTACATTCATCTCAAAAACATGTAACATTCACTGGGCTCTGGAGCAGTGCTCTTGTTCACCAGATTAATTTGGTTATGATTTAACATTGCACATAAAAGAGAGACTTCACAAGAAACCCAATTCTAACACTCTATATTGAGAGTGTCCAATGCAGCCTTGTGTCCCAGTACTCTTAATACCTGCTTGGGTAGTGCTCAAGTGTCTTTCAGTAAATAAGCAGTGGAAGGGCACTGGTAGATAAATCCAATCCATATGGATGACAGCAGACTAATAAATCAGGAGCTGGGGTTATTTATTTATTTTATGAAGAGAAGTGAAGAGACTGGTGATACCATTTTCCCATCTGAGCTGACAGTGAGGTACCTGATGCCATTCCCTCTGTAGCTGCTGCAGCACAGTCACACAGGGGCCAGACAGGTTGATATGCTAATGCCACGGTACTGGACTACTGTGCACTGAGACAGGTTGAGTGTCCAAGACAATTAAAAAAAAAAAGAAAAAAAAAAGAAAAAAATACAGCTATACATTTGGGTCACGAGTCTAAATGATCATGCTGTGAATTCATTATTATGGAGGCATTTGAAGCTTACCAATCCCCTAGAGTCAGCCATTCCTCTATGAATCCTTCAGTCTAATGCTTGCTCAGAACAAAACAAGGGAATAATAGTTACAAAACAAGAAACAACACAGAAGTGTAGTTTCCAAAAGAAGAACAAGGAAAGCATTGAAACCCTTCAAAATTAAACACCTTGGCACCTTTCGTAAAGCTCTTTTTAGCCAGTAACACAGGTCACATGGATAAAATACCATACCTTTCCTATTCCAGCAGCAGAGATCTAATATTCTAGTGCCCACAGAACCAGCTGCCAAAAAAAAAAAAATCACATTCTTTCCAGCACAATCAGCTTGCAATTCTAAAACCTCTGGATACCACTGTGGATTTCCTCACAGACACTTCTTAGGTTGAGATAAGGTGGGAAGCAATAGTGCTAAAATGTTGTGGGTGAGTTCCTGTTATGAAATTCTTCTGTGCAATTTTGCAAAATCTCACTGGCTGCAGTAAACAGGAAGAAGTTACATCCACGTTACTGGATGTTCACAAAAACACAGAGAATCACCACCCTTTCTTTCTGGCAGCCTTTCCAAAAGCAAAACTCACTCTGGAAGTGATTTTTAAAAAAAAAAAAAAATCTGTACAGCCAAAAAAAGAAATAATTTTTATTTGCTAAGGTTTAAAAATGAACCACAAAATTATCCTACGGCAGGAAAGGAGGAGGTCAGGTTTTTAATCCATGCACTATTATCTTTTTTCTCCCTGTCATATATCACAAAAAAGACTCTCCTCCCTGTGAGCAGTGTTTCAGCCCTGTAAACCTGGCTGGCCACCTCATGCTTGTCTCACACAAGCAAAGAGAGTGATCTTCCTTTTGTACTGAACATTGAAGTGAAAGCCAAGAGCACCTGGGTTCTAATCCCTGTTTCATCAGCAACAATACGGTCTTATTTCTAGCAATATCAAGCGACTGCAGCCCCACTGCTGGCAATGGCTCTGACCTCTAGAAAGGGGGGGCCATAATTTATCTGTTTTAACAGGGTAGACAACTGAGTCATTAATGTTGGCCTGATTAGTATTATCTAAGCAGTAGTTTACCATGTGGTGCTGTTGGGTAAGAAAAGTAGAGAGGCCTGTGCCACCATGGACATGACAAACATCTTGCTGACATTTTGCATGGGGTACAGAACTACAGCATAACTATAAAGAGCATGTTCTGTTCTACTGACTCAGTTAAAACATCGCTGGCAGTTTCAACACAGAGCTGAAAGGCTAACCCACTCCATCGCATACACAAACAGTTTTGATTACATGCAGTCACACCAAATCCATGCAAGTAGCATACAAAACCACAGGACAGGAGCACAGACAGTACGAAGGAACTCGAGCAAATGGTTACGGATAATGACAGCTGTAGAAATAAATACCAGATTAACCATCTTACCTTCACTTTGCTGGCTCCCTGCACTGCCACTACCGTAGCTAAAGCCTGGATCTTGGTATGCTGGTGGAAAACATGGAGGGGGCAGAGGATACTGATATGGGTATCCTTGGCTTAATGGCCAGGGAGCAGCAGGATGTGGAAGTGGAGCAAGGGTATCCTGATCCGAGGCTCCGCTTGAACCATTGTTAAGGTTCAGTGCAGCCATATCTGGAAAAGAGAGAAAAGGTGAAGACTGTGTTCTTAGCTAGGAGCTGACTCCTGCATATTAATAATGGCTGAACACAGCACCTGGTGTGATGAGGGACTACAGGGACTCAGCCTCCAGAGTTCACTCAAAATATCACAGACATCAATATCTACCACTCAGCACCAAGGTACCTTTGCAGCATTTCCATAAGCCAAGGAGGAATCACCCCCATTTTACAGATTGGAAACTGAGTCCGACTGACAAGCAGGAAGTCTGTGGCATCACCAGAAATAAATCCTGCTTTCTTGAGCCTCAGTGCAATGCCTTATTTGATGACTTCATCCTTCTCTTCCAAGTGTTCTAATTGCTTGGTCTAACAGGAAGTGTCAACCACTTGTCATGCAACTTCAGAATAATGGCCTGTTCTGAAATATCCGCCTTTGAAATCCTAGAAGACTCTCCTCTGTGCATCCTGTAAGCACAGAAGAGACAACACACATGGAGCTTTGCCTTTCACAGATGGGGAACTTACTGCCACAGAGGTCTCCAAAGACATAATAGCACTGCTCTGAGAAGGTGATTTTGTTCACAGTGTGCCTGAGGTAGCCATGTTTTAACATGCTGCTGGCATATTTTCTAGCCTCCCGTCGGTCTTTGAAGCCTTCCACGTGTGTGTAAAGCCAGTCAACCACATCTGCTCCTAAAATGAGAATAGGAAGAGAAGACACAGGATCATCTGAGCCAAACTGATCTTTTTTGGTTTTTTCATCTTTACATTATCACCTAGCCCACTAGTACTACTGTGCCAGGTACTGAACGCAAATATATAGCAATCTTGCTGCAAAGAGCTTAAAATGTTATTTTCACAACTCAGCCTAACAGCTAAATTAGTTACCATCAAACATCAATAAAGAAAACAAAGAATTATCTTGCATTTAGCTGAACACTACATTAACAGCGACACCAAATACGCATACAGAAAATGTTATAGTTACACTGTTCAACCCTTTCAGAGTTGCAGTAACAACAATGATTAGGGATTTACAGAACAGAAGTGACTGGGAGAGCCATCTTCCTCAAGAGGCAGATGTTACATTATCAGAAGACCTGGGTTCCAGTATCTTTCTCAGCAAAAAGTAACTACAACCTAGACTGATTAAATGTTAGCACAGTCCAGGTCACAGGACAGTCAGAATCAAAGGTAGACTAGTTGTGGTAATTTTAAATGTAACTGAGATATTTCGTTAAGGTTGCATGGCTGTCTGGAACTGGAATTACAAGGACTGTTGCTCTGCTGAACTTGGGCAGATTGCTAGAGCCACAAGTAGTAGTTACATGGAAAACCTGAGATATAACAAGCAAGGGTTAAGGACCAGCTTTGTGTAGGCATGACAAAACGTGCAGTCCTTTTGGCTGTCCAGGCTCAAACAAGAGCTATTAGTTACTTCCTGTCGCACTTAGAGTTGTTCACAGATACCAAGTCAAGGCAATATAACAGGTCACAGACAGGAAAAAAAAAAGTTCATATAAAGATAGCTTCTTCAGCCTATTTCCAAAAGCCACTGTTTTTTTCCCCAGCATTCCTTTGATCTGCTTACCTATCACTGCATTGGAGATAGTAATTTTTAACCACATCCTGTCCCGAATTTCAAGGCCTGAGTCTGGTAGCTGCATAACCTTCACAATAGTAGCCATGTCACTCTTCACAGTTAGGGGAGATTCTTCTAATTCTAAAAGGAAGAAAGGTTACATGCTTCTTTGAAATGAACCGAGACTGAAAAGAACTTCTCAGCTCCCGATTTGGATGAAGCATTTCAAGACACAGCTTTACCAACAGATGCAAAAAAAGACACAAAGGTTCCCAAATGCACCCTCATGAATGATATAAATCATATCACTCATACTAATTCTTCAGAGATTGTGCTCAGTGCAACCAGTTTAGTCAGTGAGATGCTGAGTCTCTATGTGTCTTGACTTCACAAACCAGCGACAGATCAGCACTGCACTCCTCCAATCCACACTGCATTGAAACTCGCAGAAAAGGAAACTCAAGGAGTTCTGTGACCATTGCTTTCCATTTCAATTTGCCATGAACAATGCCTACCCACCCAACGGTTCAGTGCACTGTAAACTCTCCAAGACAAGGTCTTCTGGCTTGTACTTTAACTTTTGGTTTAATTGTCAGGAATAATACCCATCTGCATGGAGAAAGATGATGACCGTGTCTCAATCAACGTCCATTTGTTTTTTTTAAGATTTGGACATCAGCATAATTGGGGAAAATCAAGATCAGAAAAGAAACCTTCCATCATCAAGATAAAGGCTACAGGTTTCCTTCAAAAAAATCCTTTCCAGGATCCCAATGATGGCAACCTTACAAAGTTAACAAGTCACTTAACTCTGTATTACTTAGTCCTGCATCTTTCTTGCAGAACACTTAAAAAAACTGCTACTCCCAAATGCCTCAGCAGCTGTCATGGGTCTAATCATATTTCCAACACTCTTATGGGCAGAGCTGGCTCAGCAGAGGCTTTATACTTTCCTGGTCAACTTTTATAATAAAACCAGAACAATAGGGCTGAACTGAGATGCCTACCGTAGGAGTTTAGTTCCTTCAGAAACTCCTTCTCTACCATACACAGAGGCAAAGGGGCGTCTAATATTGCAAATCCAGTGGGGTGAATCTGAGTCCAAGAGTCTACCAGCCTTCTTGTGACAGCTGTGCAGAACTCAATCATCCTGTCTATACATAATAAGACTATATTCTTTGGATACAGCACCCAGTCCTCCTTTCTGCTCCCACCTTCTCAGCCCTAGAAAATTCATGTCGAGCATGCATGTCCTGTGTTTACAGTTCAGACCCTTCTCCATCAGGAATTCAGAAATCCTCCTCTCTTCCCTTCTCCCAGCTCCCCATATTACCCACCTTTTAAAAGCACAAGGGAACCAATTTTGTCCTTTTTCAGCAGTCCAAAATTTTGATAAAAGGTACAAACATGAAACAATGAAAACTGAAAATGCTTCTTTCCATATGTGCACACTGCTAATATGCATGAAAAAGTCACAGACCATCTATGCATGCAGTTTCAAATACAAGTTTGAATAAACACTAAAATTTGCTTTTGCTTTATGTTAGTTTGGTTAGTGGCAAAAAGCAACATGTTTGTTTGGGGGGAAAAAAAACCAGCAAACTGATATTCAAATGAAGTATGTGGGGAGCAATAAATTCTATTTTCTTGGAGACCTGCGATCTGCATATCAAGAACAACAGTGGCCAAGTGATCACCAATATTTTCTGAGCCTGTAGAGATATGATGCTATAGAACAAGTAGCTGTAGAAATACAAAAAATTCTAAGATGCATCTAAAATGCACCCACTTTGGTCTAAACTCAGTCAACTGTGGACCTGACTGCCTGACCACCTGTACAGGCATGTGCAAATCTGAGGAACAGCACAGAAAGTAACACCTTTATGGGGAACCAGATCTACCACAAAGCTCTTTCTCAGGGCTTTGGTTATTGGTTTTGAGTGGTGTTTTTTTCCTGTTAGCAGATTCTGATAATAAAAGAGGTGCATGCTCCAGGAAAATGAAGTCCTATCACATGTAATACCACCACTATCCTTATTTGAGTAACGAAGTACACATTTTCCCAAACAAGAAGGCCCCAGGAAATTATGCAGTACCTCAGGCTGAATACTATTAAGCAGAAACAGTTTGAAGTCTCAATTCAAAATCCTCTGAAGTCCATGCAAGAGAAAAAGAGAACTTTCCAACAATGTCAGTGGACTGCATTTTGAAACAGCAAGACTTTCAAGAAACACTGAAACACTTGAAGTTAATCTCATGGAATGGGACAGCACTACTTTGCAGAGAGGGGTCCTGCAGTGGCAGAACAGGGGCTGGAAAAATCTACCGTTAGCAGAGCAAACGAGGAGCAGAGTTTGCACTGACTGAGGCAGCGAGTCCAACACTCACAAATCACTCTGAGAGAATATTCTCCTGCATCAGCCAGAACACTGCTGGAGAACAAGATACTTCTTAAAGGGATAATGACTATGAAACACCTCAGTCTGCCTTGATTTGCATAGTCCTGTTTTTGAAGAAACGCACTTGAGAAAATAAAGAGCTAACAGAATAATTCCTACTGTGTGGTGGTGATTTGTATGGCCCCAAAATCTCAGCTACTTTAATCACTAGCACCGATGTGATGGTGGCTGTGCAAATGCTTCAGATATCAGAACTTCATTTTTGATCCAGAGGCTAGAGAGCAAAGGAATGCTAGTCAGAAGGAAAGCCATTATTCAGTCCATTTACATGATCCTGGCCTTGCTATAAAAACAGGGTAAAACAACAGACTTTCACAATACTTAAAACATGGAACCATGAAACAGACTTGTCTAAGATGACTCCATTAATTCACTGCTTCCACTCTTACAGCCATATACTGTAGAACAGGTATTGTATTTGCTTCAAATACCAGTGACTCTAGCCTCAGAGGAACTGAAACAGAGAATCTTGCACTGGAACACGACGAGTTAGAAAGCCCCGTTTTGCATGAAGCAATTCGTTCTTTGAGATGTCAATGCACAGTCTCTCCTCCTCCATTCCTCCCCAACTTTGTCCTTCCTGGCAAAGAGGTTCACACGTCAAGTGCTCTTTGTACTTAGGGCCCTGAGGTGCTGCCTGCCATGTTTGGGGTGGGTAACAGGACTGAACTGAAGGAAGGTGTGTTAAGCAAAAGATGACAATAAAGGTCAGAGGTACTCCCCATTTTCTTGAATTCAGGAAAGGAAATATTGTAAGTCACTGGCATAGAAATGAGAAGCTGTCTCCAGAAACATGGTTCTGCTCCCAAATAACCTTTATTTTAATAGAATGATTGAGAGGGCATCTGCGTTCCACACTTCCTAATCACATCACTATATATCAAGGCACACGATACATGAATAGTTCAAGAGGAATGCAGAGTAACAGACTCTTGTTGTTTGACAGCAATCAGCAGATACATTTGATTACAGCAATCTTTAGTACCTGTAAGGCCAAAAACACATTTAAAGATAAAGCAGTCATCAGGTAAGTGGTTCACTTGCTTTCTACTGTGGATGTATTTCCCCTTCAGTGGTGCTGCCTGCTACCTAAAGAGGCACTGAGCTACTACACCTACAAATAACCGCCTTTTCAATTCAAGATGAGGTGTAATTCCAGGAACTATGTGCTAATAAAATCTGAGAGTATAAAAAAGTATAAAAGAAGGCTATGCGAGTGTCAGTGGAAGACTTCCTAAATGATACACTAACATTATTATCCAGTGACATCTATCTGAAGTAAATTATTTAAATTTATTAAAAAACAGTCAAATGCAAGGAGGAAGCTCTCACATTCATCTGAGGGGATAAAGTTGGAGGTCTGCCTTGTAACTTTAAAAGGGACCTGCAGCCACCTCTTCCTGAATGTGAACCCTGGCAAAACACCACTACATTAAATTCTGACCTTTGGAAAAATGTTTCATGCTCCCCATAATAGAATGACAAATTTAAGAAAGCATTCAAGAGTTCTGTGGCGACTGTCGTTTTCATCGTGCTTGTGGCTGGGGTCGGTTTTGCGCACAGCTCTGCACTGCTGGCCCCGAGCAGAAGACACCTGCCCTGTACTGGCCGCAGTGTGACTTACTTTCCGAATCGGGAATTGAGCTTGTTAGTGAGGAGCTGGTAGATGTGGTGATGCTCATGGAGGGGCTCATACCGTAACGGGGGTACGCTCCCGTCATGGCTGTGGTATGAGAGATCCACGCTGCAGGGTCAATTGGCCTCACTGGTTCAGCTGCAAAACAACCAGAAAGGGAGAAAAAGACAAATTGAATCATATTTGCAGTAAGCACTAATAACTAGAGTAAGAAGGAATTTTTTGGGGTGCACAAGTCCTTTCCATTCTGATAGAATCATAGAATGGTTTGGGTTGGAAGGGACCTTAAAGATCATCTAGTTCCAACCCCCCTGCCTTGGGCAGGGACACCTTCCATTAGATCAGGTTGCTCAACACTGGTCTTGAACACTTCCAGGGATGGGCATCCACAATTTCTTTGGGCAACCCATTTCACTGTGTCACCACCTCCATAGCGAAGAATTTCTTCCTTATATCTAACCTAAATCTACCCTCTTTCAGTTTACAGCCATTACCCCATGTCCTGTCAGTACATGCCCTTGTAAAAAGTCCCCCTCCTGCTTTCTCATGGGCCCCCTCCAGGTAGGTACTGGAAGGCTGCTAGGTGGTCTCCCTGGATAGTACAACTGACATAGCCCCAGCACGAGGGAACAAAAAGCACCTTGCCAGAAGTAGCTGGTTTTCTCTAGCAATTGCCGCACCAGCCTCGTAAGATAAAACCATGACACTCCTGTTCCTGTAACTGTGGTAGGAGTGAAATATTTCCACTTGTGGGAAAGAAGCTACCAGTCCAGTAATAATATTTCACTATTATTCTATACAGTGAGATAAAGATTCTCATTTTGCTATGATGTACTAACATGCTACCAGTACTACCAAATGCTTTGCTCCAGCTGATGGGAAGATCTCTCCCTACTTCTAAGGGTCTTGGATCCAAAATAAGCACTCAGACAAAACGTGAATCTTCTGCCAAAGGTGAATCAGAACAGCAACTTTAGAGCTTTATATGTGCAGAAATGAGGCATCATGGAATTCCCCTCTCAGTGTTTTCAGCAGCCATAATGAAACTTTTTAGGACTGGAATAGCCTTTCAAAATAAATAGACAAGACATATAAAGACCATTTGAAAAGACTTGTGTCAGAGAACAGTGAAAATTACACTCAGACCTTAAGAAGAGCCACATAGCAAGTAATTTTTAAAGCTGGGAATAAAATTCAATTTTCCCCATACTCTGGATTACTGCTTTTCTTCTGAATTATAGTGGCTGTTGTTCCATCGCCTTAAAACCAGAAATTATGTAAAAGAACTCTGCCTGTGTTAGGTATTTCCTCAAAATATCCCACACATTATTGCAACCAGTTTAGCCTACAACAGATATACCGCTGTTAGCCTTGGATAATAATGGATGCATCTTTCTTGAACAAAGGACAAACTGATACACAAGCTCTCCCTGCAGCAAATCTGAAATATGTGATTTGTGGGATTTTTCTTTTGATTATGCTGGTTTTCCTAAGGACCTCACTGAGTGAGCTCCTGTAGTCTGCATGAGTCTATTGCATTAATTTCAACGGACAATGCTGTCGTCATCTTCTTAGAAGGACTGGTAACAAGCTGGTTTCAGTATTATAAGCAGAGCACTCACCAGCAGGAGGCAGCTGTGTTTGTCACATTAGCACAGATCTTTTATAGCTATTGAAAGGTTTATTAAGACAGGTGTTTAAAACTAGATAATAGAGGTTTTATATATATTAAAAAATGTTGTTTGCCTCAAATTTTAAAAATACTGTTTAAATTCTTTCTACGAAGCGTACAAATGACAAAATGAGGCTTTTTAACACTTAAGTATAGTTATCCTCCAAACTTCCTAGCAATTGAATGGTTAAGATCACGAGGATATACCCAACAAAAGGTTAAGAGCTCAATACAAAGCCACGTAAATCAAAAGAAAAACTCCCATGAATACAGTGGGCACTGGAGTCTCAGAAAGAGTATCTTAAGCCCCTGCCTCCCAAAACAAAAAGCAAACAAACAATGCAACCAAACTTAAAAGAATCAAACTTGTAAGGAACAGAAATCTGTTAGATGCCGAAGTAGCTGAAAATAGCCTAGACCTTGAAGGCTCCACAGGAACCCAGCAAAGAGCACAAATATGTACTCACCCCTGGGGATGGTGAAATAACTCCTGGGAGTAGGGTCCCAGCATTTGGCTACTGTTAGGCTGATAGGTCTACGAAGAAAGAAAACAAGTAAGGGTGACAACTTTCCCTACAGAAGTGGTAGCTGCTACTATGAACTCTTTGGAACAAATTTACTCCTATCCAACAGTTGTAAAGCACATCTGAGCATGCTTTTGAGAAGCTTGTCAAAGTATTTCCTGTATGAACCAGTATCGGAATGTTTCTGGTTTTGCACAGATCATGAGCACTATTGGTGTGAGCACTGTTGAACGATCAGCTCTTGAGATACTAAAACACTCATTGTATAAACAAATAGTGCTACTGAAACCAGCCAACTCCCAGTTTGTGTTGGTTTTGGCTGGTACATTGGAACCAGTCTCACCTATTCATCATTTACACCGAGAAGTTCAGAATTGACATCAGCAGTCACAGGGGTTACTTATTTAGATCAAAATGTTGATTTCTCTGAGGTTTGCCCAACACCTATAACTACATATGGGGGATAAGTAGCAAGAGGTTTTGTAATATGCTCACCCTGGTTTGGAGACTATTTCCCGTAAAACCCGTACTGCATCATCATTGCTCATGTTCTCAAAATTGACATCATTGACCTGAAACATTGCAAAAAGTAAAGGTCAGGCTTTGCAACAGGAAAGTTAAAGACTTTTTAATTATTTGTTTCCAAATTTATTTGCCTTGTAACTGTTTCCATTCCTTTGAGCAGCTGCAGAAATATTTTTTCTCAGAGCACATCAACTATCCAGCAGAGTTCACAAAGAATTACAGATTTAAGTGAGAATAGTTTTTGTGACATATTTCTCTGAGTATGAATGAATTCTATCAGCCCATTACTAAGTCCATGGATCTGGTGGGATCACTGAGCTGAGCCACCAACGTACAAGCCTGCAGCACGTATTTTTGGACATGGACCAACCTGTAGAAGCATGTCTCCTGGTTCAATCCGGCCATCTGCTGCCACAGCCCCTCCTTTCATAATAGAGCCAATGTATATGCCACCATCACCCCGGTCATTGCTCTGTCCTACAATGCTGATTCCCAGGAAGTTATACTTTTCTATACAGATAGAAAGTGGAGGGTTGGGGGGAAAAAAGCAAACAAGGTGATTGGAATGATAGTAAAGAGCTAACACCAGGCTACTTCAGTCTTGAAAAATCAGTTCTCTCAACTCATCAGCTGGGCCACATTTGACTAACAATTATCTCAGGTTACCCTATTGGCATATGTCTGCCTGGCACGTTCAGGGAAAGGCAGCAAGGAAATGCTGCTAAAGATATTATTTTTTCACATAGGACACTGAAAAGTTAACATTCAAAAAATCAGCAAGAGAAACAACATTGAAAAGACATGTCTACACCTAGAAATTAGGTACCTGATCAGCATTAGGCAATGATTTTTCCACACGTCACAGTGGCAGGAAGAATTTGGTGCTACTGAAAGGTGCTGAATTGGCAGTCCTGCACATTTCTATCTGGCTAAACAACAAAACACAGGAGCAGCAGAAATGCAAACCGCCGGTGCCCTTCTACTCTTGCTCCTAACAATGTCTGACACCTTACCATTCCTAGAAATAAGAGCAGAACTCCATATCCTGGAGTTCCAGCTCCTTCCCTCAGCTTCTCAGAAAGAATACCGATCTGCTTGTGCAAATGGCTCAGAACTATCCAGTACTAGGAATCCAGGCACAGTCAACAGAGCAGCAACTCTCAGCTGCCATTCTCTTTAGTTCAACTGGCATCCTTTCAAATCAAGGAACTTTCTGCTGGCTCCAAAGGATACTACACCATGACAAAATACCTCTGTATCACTTGAAAATCATCATAAAAAACATTGCTTATCCTCTTACCCATGTTGAGTGTGACCGTGATGATATTTAGGGACATGGTAGAATCAGTGATGCTGCTGAACGAAGACGACTGCAAAATACAACAGAAAATTCTCAAGGTTTTAAATGGCTCAGAATAAGACCATAAAAATAACTATTGAGGATTCATTCATTGGGAACTGATTAATAGGTTTCCATTTGAAAGGCATCCAGAAATCACTGTGGCCTCCTCAAAATTACTCTTCATTTAGAATCTGTAAGGAAAAAAAATCTGAACACAAGCGGCACTTTCTCCAAATATTTGTTTACAAAGCACACAGAGCAAGTTCCTATATTGAGGTTTCTCAACCGAACTTCACATTGAATCATTTCTGCTTTTTGACTACATGATGGACAGGCAGACATTTAAACACTAAAGCACCCAGTGTAGTGTGAATTATTACATCCACAGCTCCTCCCTAAAAAGGTGTGAACAACACATGATCCTTCAGGAAGTGAGAAGACAGATACTCCCCCCGCAGTGAAATACAAATGTTCTTATCAAATATTTTCTATACATTACTCCAGTTCTTGTGATAAAATGTATGCATACTCATTCTTTAATCTGTGAAGACTCATATTTATAGGAGAACAAAACGGTTCTTTCAAGAAGTATGTCATTTGGACCATCTTCATTCTGCTACCATAGGACTAGCATAGAAAAGGGCAAAAGATTTGCAATTTCCTATAAACGTAGATTTCTCCTCTCAGCAGAATGCAAGTCTCAGCAGTTTATACATCGGATGTCTAACACCACAGACACCCGTTGCCCACATCAGCTGGTAGCCTAGTGGAGGTTCTCCTGCAGAAGCTGGTCTTGAAAGAGACAAGAAGAAATGTGATCACCTAACAGTAAAAGCAGAAAGGGAGAGGAGAAAAAGAGTCTTGACCCTAGTGCTGCAGAACTTCAAACGTTAGAGATTTAGTCCAGGGTAGATTGGAGCCAAAGGGAGCTTTTCCAATGAATCCAACAGGGCACAGATCTGTTCTGGATCCCTTCCTAATTTACATGCTACACTCAAAATCACTGTTCACCTCCTTGGAAAATTATGATGCCAACCTTACCCTGTCAATCTGCCGCATCCTTTGTTTCCTCCTCCTGCGTTTATGCTTCCGTATGAGCCGGGATGAAGTACTTTGCTCAGTGGAGCTACTCAACCTGAGGGAAATTGAGAGCAAATGTCAACTCTGTAAAGCTGAGCCATTTGCATTTCTCTGCACCCTGCCAAAAAAAAAGGCTGATTCCTACAAATGCAGGAGAGAGTAAATCATATAGACACCATCAGCTAGCTTACAGTATATTGCTCTGTTTGTTGCTGAATTGCTGCTCAATCCCAATGTGTGCTGTACCTTAGCTTCTGCCTAGGAGCACAGAGAAGATACCAGCTAAACCACAGCATGGATTACAGAGTATAATTTACTGTCTTGCTTTCTTTTGGGAGCAAGACTGAATGCAACCCGCATCTCAACAGGCATTATCCTGTTTTAACCATCCAAAGGTCAGAGGTAGCCATCTTCCACTATTTTAAAGGTGGTCCCGACTCCAGTCTCATCAAAGAAAAATGCACACTATAAGAACAGCTGTACATTAAAGAACAATTTTAATCTCTGCTCTGAGACAACAGACAACATGGAGAAACTCTTAATATTAATTTTTGTGAGTCTTGTCACGGTGCTGTTATTTTCTTCTGCTGCTATCTACGCTGTTAACAGGAACTTAAAGTTGGGGCTTGAATTCAATGAAATAAAGTAGCAATTGATAATAGCTACTACCAAATACTGACAGAGGAATAATGAATATGATTTACCTTTACATATTCTGTTAGGTTTATTTTGCTGTGGGGTTTTTTTTTTTCTGGCTCTTCAAACTTGCAGAACCTAAATGTGCCACATTCTACATAGAACTCCTTAAGATCCCCCTAAGACTTAGGAAAGATAATCATTCTCATTTTACAGATAGTGGACTGAAACACAGAAAGAGATAAATGGATTTGCCCAAATTAATTTCAGAAGCCTGGAACAAAGCCTAAATTTCAGAGATACCAGTGTAACACCACAGAGACATCTCTCCTCTATATACTATGTTAAGAATGGCAAAAAGACTAAGTAATGCTCCATCATTAACCAAGGTTTAAAAAAATCCAACCCTATACAACACAAGTAATTGAACTGGCACTGTCACAAAGAAAACAGTGCCGGTCTTTTTCCCCAGTCTCCATGTCCCTGTCTTCAAAGCGCTAGCCACGTGCAGGAATGCTAGAATACCTCAAGCAAAACTTGATACCAGCAACCTCAAAAGGGAGGTTGTTGTCATTAGATTACAACCCACCACACCGGGAAACCCATCTTGCATAAAGTAGGTGTATTTTAGCCATGCGTACTGAGCTGAATATTACAGATGATGGAATTGCTCAGAGGGCGTGAATCTCTTAACATTCTTTTGAGTTCGCAAAACTATTTCAGGCATGTTAACCTCACACACTCCTTTTTCCCCTCCCAGCACGGCAAATTAATTTAAAGAGCCAAGAGGTGATATTTTCAAAAGAGATCAAAAATATGATAATTCTCGATCTGTGGAAACAGCTTACAGCACCTGGTTTTCTGAGGCTTTACCTTTGCAACAGCAAAAATAAAGAGGTCTCTCAGATGCAGGGCTCCCCAAATTTGACCTCAATATTCACCACTCTTTTTGAAAGCACGCTCAAAGATTGACACAAAAACCTTCTCTTACATTTTACTACCAATACTCTCCCTCTTCCTATTTCCTCTCCAATTTCATTCCCCTCCTCTTGTCTCCCGGAACGTCTCATTAGTAGGACTCAGCTAAAATTTTCCAGCACACAACAGTTTATGAGAACCTGAAGAAATGCCAAGCACATTGCTCACATCACAGTGAACCTGCCTGCTCTTGGACAAGGGTAACAAAAAGAAAAGGGGCAAAAGACTGGGGAAGCTTTTCTGCATGAGCACAAGTCAAGCAACACAATACCTTCAACAGCTATGAGAGAGAAGCGAGTGCCCTTCTTCCACTGGGTAGAGTATGAATTCAGCACTCCAATCTGCAAAGAAATCCCGTTCACAGGCTCTATTCCCTGCTGCAGACAGAACGCAAGGGTGTGAAAGCCCTGCTCTTTCACATGATGAGGCAAGACCTTCCACTAGTTTTGGAGACAGCTGAGCTAGTCCATAACAGCAAGGACAAACCCTTAAAATTTTATGTGTCCTTTTGGCTACTATAATCACACTTCAAAGACATTCACAGCATCTAGGCTATTGATTTTCATTGTTTACCCACATATTTCACCTACTGCCATACCATCTTTTATGGCTTTATCCCAATGTGTATCACTTAAGCAGTATACAGTACTTCCTGTCTCCAACTTTTTTAGAATGGCATCCTCTAATAGTTATTGTGGATAAAGAGAATTCATTAAATTCATACACATAATTTAATTTATTCATTTTTTCCATTACTATGTCTCTGAAATGGGTAATGCCTCTGGCTAACATTGCCTACTGTAAAAAAAATTCTAAGTTAGCAATGTTCATATAGCAGAGAAAGAAAATGGAGATAAAAATTATACTGAAAGCCACACCTGCCTACAGCAGGAGATCACGATGGGAATTCACCCAGTAGCAAAGTTCTTCCTCTACTTTCCAGACAATAGTCATTTTATCTGGATAGCAAGTTATGGAAACGAGGGACAGGAACAGTAGAGTTTCAGCAGACAGTCCACTGAATTTCTTTGTCTCAAGCAGCCTTGGCAATAATCCAGTGCTGTTTCATGGCACTTCTTAGGTACATCCTAAGAAGTATGCAACTTAAAAGTACCTTCCAATGTATGTTAGTATACTGCCTCAGTCAGTATTTTTCCTGATTACATACAGCACATAAGATCTGCTGACTGCCACAGTTGACTGGCTATGACAACTTCTTCCTCCTGCTCTAGTGCACATCAATATGGTGTTGCTCAGAAAAACAAAGAACGACTAATTCCAGCATTTAGTCTGATTTTCTAAAATTGGACAGGACAAAAATACCTTTTGCTACCACTGAGTGTAGCTAGAAAACAGGATTGCTCTCTGACTCTGAGTCCTTAGAAGGGATATTTTAATCTACCATCAAGTACAGGACACAAAAATATTTTCATTACTGTCTTTACAGAGATACAGTAGGGATGAATCCAAAAGATAGACTTTTCTTCTTTTTTTTCCAGTCCAAGTACACCACAGAAAGACAGACAGAGCAACAGCTGAGGTGATGAAGGTGTGAACAATTAGCTTATGCTGATATCAGCATCTTGTTCCTTCTTCACTTTTGCCCTCCCTATTTACTTCGGCAACTTGGGATGAGACTACTTTGGAAAATTCATTCAATTTCAACACGTGATCAAAAGTTTAGATTCCTCTGCAAGCTGTGAACATTTTGGATTTTTCTTTTAAATTAAACCAGCAAAACCAGAGTTTATTGGCAAATGTCTGAACTTCTGTTACCAGATGATAATACATGAGAAGTGAAGTTGTTCTATTCTGTGGTCATTTTTTCATTCTACACAGCATTAGACTGGAATAACGGAAATCAATTCCTTAGAAAAGCCACAGTTCAGGTTTAGTTCAAGAGGACAGACAATATTTCAAAGAAGTAAATTCTTGAGCTAAAACAGCCTCTCACATTAGTTGCACAAAATTGATGATCAGAAGGCACTGCAGAAACATTTTCGTGTGCTTATACATTGGCTTCTATACAGACAAACATTAGAAAATGTTACTTATTACATAAATTAAGAGCTTGCTCAAGTTAGTTTTTTCATCCCTTCTTGGGGAAAGCTGGACAACGACTTAAGTTGCCTTAATAAGCCTATGTGTAAGTAGAAGGCATGACAGCTTGCTCCAGCAAGACTTCCACACCGTGTGAAAGCACATTTGTAAACATCAGGTTTCACAGTCTCTGCAATTTCTTAAAAAGGAGTCAAGCCTCTATTTTCATGTAGCCATGGTACACTTCATTATCTCTTGTAATGTCTTTTAAATCTGTAGCCTTAATGTATCCTTGCTGAATCATTCATAAACACTGCATATCTCATGTTCTAGGAGTATCTGGATGTTAAATAGCAGCTCAAATGTATTCTAGTGAGGAGTAATATTTTGATCTCTGAAGTATCCCCAGAAATGAGTAAAAGTTATTACTACAATTTGATGAGCAAAACAAGATGGTATATTTGAGCTTTCAGGAAAAATAAAGTGCAAAGATGAAAAACAAATCTGGAATCGTAACTACCAATTGCTACTGGCCAAAATCCTGACTGCACTTATAACAGAATGTCTAATAAATCCCACAGAAGAGATTTTTAAAAAGAATAATAATAATTTGTCCAATCTACATTCCCCAAAGGAAGGGAAAAAAGTAACAATTTGTTAAAGACAGCTTATCTATATAGTTTAAAAAGAACTAATGTTTATTTCTTAAATGAGAAATAAACGTAATCAAATTTTTTTTGCAGTGAATTACTTTAGTTCCATTAAACTGGGAATACTAATTGCAAGTTGCTGACAATAACCCTACAGCTACAGATGTCATATCTGCTAGACCTTTATTTGCTTAACAGAAGACAGAAACAAGACTTTTACTGTAAAGTTTACCCTGAGCTCCCTACATCAATCCGTACGAAAAATACCACCTATTACCTACAAATAACACTAATGTTCAATTATATCATATTTTGAAAAGAAAGGAAATAAGTTATTGCACTCACAGTACTTGAAGGGTTCTGTACTGTCCTGTAATATTTGTGAACAAATTAATTGACTGAAAAAAATAATTATTCTTTTTCTCTAACTAAATGCAACAGAACTTCCTTGGACTGGAGATTAACCAACTCCGCTGCACTGCTCCAGGTTAAAAATACAATAAACCAATGTCCAACACACTGTTAGAAAAGCATCCTCAACCTTACAAACTCTTCCCTTCCAAGACAGTAACATCCTCTACATTCGACTTCTTCTCTCAGTGACCTCCTCCACATACAATCTCCTTTACAATGCAGGTTCTTACACCAGAGTTCATCAGCTGCTATTAAAGAAACTTACCCCCTCCAACCTCTCTTTCCCCAGGCCGCTGTCTCCAGCAGATCTGGAGCATGCTCGATTTTCTATTTGGCTGTATTTTCCTCTAAAGAAAACTTCTCCCTGCCAGCACAATCCCTCATCTGCTCGAGAACATCATCACCGTAACACAACAGCATACCTTGGAGCATTCCATTTAGTCGTTCTTCCTGACTAGCTGGCCTGGCAGCTATTATGTATGCCAAAAGCTTCTGCCCTAGCCTAGAAAGGAAAAGGCCTGCACAGCAGCTTCGAAGAGTCTCTTTCTTCTCAGGTCAGACACAGGAAGCTTTACTTTATTAATATAGAAAGATTCAGCTGGGTCTAGTATAATGTGCTTCAGTGGCCACCCTGACTGTGCTAATCCTGCCCTACCGCATATATTGGTGCCATGGAAATGATTAATTTATTTACAAGAAACAAAATCAGCTGCAGGGTTGTTGTTGTTTTTGTGAGCTTGATTTTTCAGGGAGGGAAGGAGGGTTAGAAGCCCTAAAGGCTTTAGGATGGCTTAGAGCACATTCAGGTTAACTACTGATCTTGCCAACCCTTTATGCACATGAATACCCAAGTGAAGTACAAAGCATCCAGAAGGCTAATTTTCTGTATCTTCAGGTGCTGGCAACTTCACTGTAACTGCAAAATAAGTTCTTGAAACTAATTCAGGACCAAATCTTAAATGTTTATTTAGTTACCCTTTAAAGCCTTTGGAAACACCCAGCCTTTACATAGAATTTGAAGAAAATGCTGTTCTTCAACAGGTTTCTAAGCTATGACTAACTGCAAGACTAAATAGATCCACTGAGTTCAATAAGCTAATAATCTGTTTGTAAACATAGCAAATGTTTAAGTGTCTCCAGGACTACTTGTTCTTTGCTGTTTCCATTCTAACTAGAATTTAAGAATATCACGTTGCACCTTATTTGTTTTCACTACAGATCTCTATGAACCACCAGAGATCTGTAATCTTCTTGTTCTCTGACAATTAATAGATATCTGTAATGGGTTTTCATAGCTCATTTGGATGAATAACAGCTCTAGAGACAGTGTTCAGAGAACGCTGTCACTGCAGCCAGAAAAGGGAAAAATGTTAGTTTTGATTGATTTTATATGTTTAAAAATAGGCATTTTGAATCAGAGAAATGTATTGGTTTATCAACCTTTTACAGAACATAACAAGGATGTCTTGAAATGGAGAGCTTTTTGCAAAAAGCAAGGAATAATTCACATTCTCACTGTCTGCACAAAAAGAAAAAAAAATTAAGAAGTCGTAAATATATGGCAATGCAGCCTGCCTTTACAATAACATTAACTTTGATGAATTTCTGTACTGCTCATAGGTCTCAGACTATGCAATTACATAGGAATTCCTTTACAATTCAGCTTTAGTGAAGTGTATACTTATTAGGAATCTATGCTAAAGGTATTTTGTTACAATAATCACACCATTACTTCATAAATAGGTAGACAGTTGCCCATTGCTTTGATTTTAAAATGTGATCATTCTTGTTATTAGAAGGAAAAAACAGGAACAGAATTTTTCTCTTAATTGGAACAGTGGCTATAGGCAGCTTGGATAGTGACCCCAGTAACTCAGCTTGTTTCTCAAAGCAGTGATTATATACAGCATAATGTTACTGACAAATTACCAGTGCTCAAATCATATGTAGCAGAAAAAAAAAAAAAAGAAAAAAAAGGGAAGAAAAAAAGAAAAAAGATCGAAATCTTCTCACTTCACCAGTCAGCTCAGAAATACAGTCAAGTGGCTGGGTAACAGATACAAACAGTATTTAACAGCTGAGTGACTATGTCAATGCCCTACCTGCTTGTGTTGTCATCATCATCAGAGTCAATGAAGCTGCTGGATTCCAGCTCACTACTCATTATGGTAGAAGAGCTGTCATAACCAGGAGGGTGCTCACGGTGTCTGTCCAGTTTCGGATGGCCATTGATCCGAGGGACTGTAAAAACAAAATAAATGGACTATTACTAGGCAAAGAGGAAGAGCAAGGAAGACGTGGCAACTGTGAGTGGCGTGACATTCACACTGACAGCTGCAGACAACTCTGCAGGAGGATCCTTATGCCAAAACCAAGCTCTTTGCAGAACCTGATTTCATGCAACAGCTGGAAAGCCTACTGCCCTGGCTGGCCTGCCTGCCTGCCTACCTACCTTTTTGCTAACTTTTTCATTTGTCTATGGCTCAGTTCATGGGCAAGGCATAAACGTATTGAGGAAGAAGTAGTAGGCATGATCAAGTACTATAATAGTATATTCATCAATTAGACTGGCCATGAGAAGTTGATGTCAATAGGAAGGTACATATGAAGATCTTGGAAAAGCAGCAGACAACACAATTTGAGTTTGGTATGGATAGGCCCAGCAACACAAAAAACATTAAACAACATTCCTTGATGAATTCTATTAATATCTCATCCATAAAACCACCTTTCCCTCGATCTGTGCTACACATTCCTGTCCCCCTACCTACAACACATTTTCTGGGCAGTACAACCATATCAAAGTCACATTGTCTTGACCATTCCACATGCACAAGATGCTTCATGACAATTTCTTATTAATCCCTGGCTGTGCAAACGTTGTCAGACACACAAACATTCCTGTAGATAATCTCCTTGGTTAGAATGCCATTTACTTAAAGGCAGCAGCGGTTCATCTTTTTCTAGAGGAATTTTATGGATTTTCCTCTGCAAACTCCTCTGCCTGCTTCCTTTCCGGATCTCTCATTAGAAGACCCATAATCTGTAAATGCTCTATTTTGCTAAGAACGCTTCTTTCCCTGAAACAAGAAAGGCTCAGCTTGATAAGGCACCTGGTCAAAAAATTAACATAACAGGTTTCAAAGACAGATTGATATTTTAAAACACACTCTGCAAACTCACAATTCCTTCCCAGCTCCAAGGGATCTGCTCTTCAATGACAGAATAGAAAACCTTCATAAAGGAGGAATGTCTGCAGTAGGAATTATACATGATGCTGTGCAACTGTACACACTGAAAGTTAACTGACAGTTCTTGCAAACTATTAAAGTAACATGGTTTGAAAAACCAAGAGTCACCCTAAATACCTGCTGTGAAGTTCACTATGGCTAGCTTTCAATCCTCTGTTCCAAATTGCTCATCAGTGAAATAAAAGAACTGATTAGTTTTCTTCCTGCCTAAGGAACATGGGCCTAATTATTTATGTCCATAAAGGGTTTTAAGAGATTCAATAAAAGGTAACAGACTTACAGAAGATCTCAATTTTTTATACATATATCTAACCAATTCATGTCTGCAAAGTGAAATGATTGAAGCATAAAGCTGTAACAAATTCTCCTGTTATGTCACTTCCACATCCTGTTTGATCACCCAGCTTCTAGGCACATCTATAGGCCTGCAAAATGGCTGTGAAAACATTTAAACTGGATACCCAAGAAGACCAAATCTTCTTTCAAGTCACAGAGCAAAAAAAAAAAGCTCCTTCCCTCCTGCAGTAGCAGTGAGCTTTGGTTTGAAGAGAAACTGAACAGTAGAATCCCTTCATCTCCCTTCTTTGAACTGATACTTGTTTTTCATCTTGCCATATGCTGAAGAGCAGTTGAGATTATATCATTTACTTAACCCTTGAATCCTCTTCTGAAACTAGCACATACTAGTAATAATGATCCAGGGACTGACTGCTGTCCTCTAGGAACTGCCTCGAAGTCAAAGGCTGTGTAGTGTTAAAAAAATGAAGTTTGTCAGGTTTCGGTTTCAGGCTTTGCCTCCAGAGCTCCCTACTCCTAGCATTTCCATCTCTCACTTCCCCATGCGTAAAATCAAGACACAATAGCATCTGCCACAACTTTTTAGACTGCACATTCTACAATATAGAAAGCTTCTCCTCCCATAATTTGGTCATCACAACTACCATAATGTGCACCCAGTATTGGGTGGTAACACTGTATGTCACTGAAAAACAATTAATGAGCTT